TGACCATCTTCCCACTAGGCTGAAATCCATTGACCTATAGGTTTTAACTTACATCAATTTTCCAATATACTGGATTGTTATCGATGGCACTGGCTGGTAATGGGGCTGTCCAAACAAGAAATAAGTGAGTGATTTTTCTGCTGGAAAATATGATTCCGGACAGCTTTGTGAAACATCTTTCTCAGAAAAGTGGAAATGCCGTTTTGTAAGAATTTCAGCTTTAATGTCGGTGGCACAGTGGTTAGGACTCTCGCCGACCATGCACATGGTCCGGGGTTCGAGCCCACGCCGACGCACACCTGATATCTATGGTCGGCCTGCAAAATTTGGGCTACCGATATCCATGCTGAAAATTCCATACTTGTACCAAAAATACAGTGTGGAATCAAGCTGTAAATCAAAAATCAAAATCAAAATCAAATTCTAGTACTCCAGGTTTTCCTACGAACTCTTTGCGCCTTTAGCTACAATAGTTTTTCCCATATGTTGCAGTCGATAAACTGCAGGAGGAGATATTTCAAATCAGCCTCTACAGTAACTTCTGAACAGATCCTTGAACATAAAGAACTTGCTAGGTTTTATTTGCTGAGCAATAGTACTGTGGGGGTTAATGAACTTTCCAGTCTATGTTGGTTCTTGGTGTTCTCACCTCTGAATAGAAATGTCAAAGCATTATGTAAGTAGAACATCTAGGAATCGAAATAGGACTTTTGATTCACATCCTAAAGTATACATTGAAATTAAAAATGACTGTTCATTAACTTGCCTTCACTTTATTTCGTTGAAAACTCAATGATTCCGATGTTTCCAATAAATTTGTGGCTTCGTGTAACGTAACTTCCCTGTTCACTAACCTACTTATTTATGACACGCGTCGTTTACACAGTGGTTAGGACTCTCGCCAACCATGCACATAGACTGAGGTTCGATCTCCTGCCGACGCACACCTGATATCTATGGTCGGCCTGAGAAATTTTGGCTACCGATATCCATGCTGAAAATTCCATACTTGTACCAAAAATACGGTGTGGAATCAAGCTGTAATCAAAAATAAATAAAAATATAAAAAATAAATATTATATTTCAGAATTCTGATCTCCCAATGTCAGCTTTAGAATCCAAATGCCTTATACCGATACGCACCTACAACATTCACTCCCAGTTTTAGAAAAGATTCTTTGTGAGATCTTCGGGGTAGTTATAAGCAACCCATAGGATAGCATATTATCAGATATTTTCCTGACAGACCTTAGGAATACAAAACTGAGAGATGTAGTCGGAGAAGTAACACTATCCACTGGGTATGTTAACGATGCTTTTATGCTACGGTTTATCTCATGCATTCTGCATATCGCAAACTTTCCATAATTTCATAAGAATATTGATTCCACTATGGAATATAAAGTTGGGGAAAAGTTGGACTTTCCGGATATCAATTCGTATCAGGAACCGGCATCATTTACAGAACCAATAAAAACCAGGTATTTTTCAGCGGTACACACCCATGCATAGAATCTGAGGCCTTCAGGTTATAATATGAGCTCATAAACCATTCGGCCACTGAGTATGAATTCATTGGCTCACGAATTCTAACTTCTACCGATCAGTGATATCTCTGCACAATGTAGGACGGGTGATACGCTTCAAACGTTCATCTGACGAACAGGTACATGAGGTCAGACTTGCGTGAATTTTAAAGACGTATTCTCGATTAACCACACGTGGGTGCCGGTTAAATCGTTATTTCACATAACGAGAATGATATACTCCCCCTGAATAATTGAAGAAGCATTTGTAAATTATGCAATAATACCTACAAGATTATGGTTATCTACAAAAATTAATCAACTAATCTGAATGAAGTGAAGGTAAAGGCGAGGAAACCACATCAACGAACAAAAAGCTTATATTCATTCACCTGAAATTTAAAAGTGCTGTCATCGAAGGAACGACTAAAATCAGTGGCTATGACATTTCCTACAGAAAGATTGATGCTCACATATCAGATAGAGCAATAGTTAGTTTAGTCAAAAGTTGACAGATACCCTTTTTTATTTAAACTCAATTCTGTTGATCTGTTTACATGTAGCTGCAGAAACACATACGTGAGAAGAACATAATTAATGACCTATCGCAGACATTCCGAACACATCCCAAAAAGATAAAGATCAAGAAGGAGGACAGCCATAAGTAGTTGAGATACACTGCGTCTGGTTGATACAGGTGAATCATCTTAGACTTTTTGAGATAATAAACAAACAAGCAAGGTCAAGCTTCCTGAAGTTTACAAAGGCTCTCTCTATCATTTATAAAGTTATATTTGTAAAATTCTCACTCAGCGCTCAATTATTTTGCAACTATCCGGTCAAATCTTGATCACAGTTCATATGAACTCTCTCTATCAGATGCCTAAAACCTGAATTATGCATTCAAGAGAGAGGTAAGGCAAGTCCTTGTTTATCTTGATTGCTTGCTTCTCGACCTTTGATTACGTCACCTTTTACAAAATTGTTTAACTTGAGATCAGGTCGAGAGTCTGTCAGTTACGATTTAAATAGCACAAAATCTGACAATTTATATGTTGGTCAGATAAACTACCAATTCGATTTTACCGCGTTGATAGACTCCCACTACTCAGTCCATACTGCTGCATAATTAGATTCCATGATACCCTTTTGTAATATTATTATATTTTCAGTATATTACCCCCACCTTCTGTTTTGGAATTTATGTTCCAATATGACTGTTTGAGTGTTCTGGGAATTTAGAAAGAGCAACATACTGAGCGAAGAAATATATTTCTTTCGAATTAGTTCTTCATTATCGGCTCTTCTCATCAAAATTTTACCACTCAAGTGGTTATTTTAGTCTATCAGTCTAGGGTAAAAGAGGTGGGGTTGAAATTAAGAGATTAAGAGTCATTAAAACAATTAACTAATAGATGTGAGTAACAAGAAGGTGGGGTGAAAACTAATTATGGAATTCAAGATAAATTAGTTCGTAGGAGTTAGCACCAAGTCATTACATAATCAAGAAATGTGTGGAATAATTGTATTAGGAAGAATAAGATGATATTTTAGTTATCCGGGTTAATCGATTAAAACTAATATTTACAAATATTTGTGTATAACAGCACTTATGTGACAGCTTTTTTTAACTTTATTGATTATGTATTCCGGATAGCAAACTATTCCTGGCAGTGAACGGCCGTTCCCCCTACTCTGAGACGCTTCAGTGCTGATCACTGATGACTTTATCAGGGGTCGAACCCATGACCTCCAGATTATAATGTAAATATCCTGACTATTCAGCTACAAGGGAGTTCACTAGTAGAATCTACACCAGCCATGCGGTCGGTCTAGACTCAATTCCCCTCCGGCGTATGATTAAACCTGATCTAGTCACTAGTAAACAAGGTAAAGATGGCAGATAAGTGCGATGGTGACATTCATATCCCGTAAATCATCACTTCGAAAACTTCAAGAAAACCCTTATGTCCCATATTCCACTCAGAATGCAAAAATGAGAAAAATGAATTGGTGAAAAATTTAGGTTCACACTTATAAATCAAAAAATTTGACACGCTGGATTTAATTTTCACGTATCGCAAAGTTGTGAAAATTTTCATCACACAAAGGAGATTTAACAGTCTTGTAACCTGTATTATAACAAAAGAGCAGTAATAATAAACGTCTCGAAAAATCAAAGTGCATTGCAATAATGAACAATGTTTTATTGTCCTCTTTTATAAGAATTTGGCGGAGGGTCGCTCTACATAATAGTTGGGCTATTATTAACCAGTGGTTGTATACCCATAAAGTCCTTGATAATTCAACTGGAAATGGATATTTTATGAAGTCTTGTACTTACTATGCCTAAATATTATTCAACAAATTGACTATGATGGAATTAATGAATGAATGAGTGTCTCAGTCAATGATTTAGTGCATAGTGTACAGCATGTCATCAGTGTGCAGAAGTCCTTTATGACTTAATTATTTAAACAGTAGTAATTTTGCAGTCCAGTATAAAAGATATTTAATCGTTTGCAAAGTTTAGATCAACATGGTATTTCATGGAATTAGCCTCCAGATGTGATTAGCGCAATCGACGCATAACAAGAAGTCACTTCTTCTTCTCCCTCTTTTTCAGTAAACATCAGTGTTTGGCCAATAAAAACTACCTATTCCCACCAACTAGTGATTTCGTGTAAAGTTCACCCTACAACTGTTGATTGCTTCCATAATATTTCTAGTAAATACTATTTGAACTTGTGGAAATTAGCCACTCTTACTACACGTTGTAAGGGCTTACTTGAAAAAAACACTAACTGAAAACAGCAGCTCATTACTTTTCAAGTTACTTTTACATTTGGTAGACTTGGGGAACAGGGTACTGAAACTAAAGCGTATGACCCAAATTCCATAGTTTACCAATCAAACTACAGTCCACTATCTTTCTGACCAATCAGGCTTTGCTAAGTCAGTTAATGCGTTGATGGATGTTTCCCAAGGGAGTGAAAACATTGTAATTACCACTGATGCTAAACTGAGTTATTTTTTCCTACATTATTTGGCTGCTTTCCCACCCTTAAGTCATGTTAACCTAGAAAGCGAGAGAAAATATAAAGTTGAAGAATTAATTTAAGTGAAAGGGGATAGGAAATGCGGAATTTCTAGTCGAATAAAAAGGCACCAATCAAATTTCAGATGCTGTTCAATCTACAGGTATAGCAAAATTTCATTATATTGAAACCTGTGACCTTTGAAATCCCATGGGTTTTAATAGACTCAAGCATAATGAGAATTTCTGAGTGAAAAGAAGTTTATCGCTGATTGGCTAATAAGTTTTTGGTATTGTCTGCCTGCCTTGGATATCTGCATTTGTATAGATTATTAACAGATAAGCATACGCATAAGTGACCCCCCTTTTGGTTATCTGTTATAGTTTATCCACCTGTAATAAACTGAGGATTTGTAGCAGATTACTTATCTGTCCCCCACCATAACAGCCTGGTAGCATCCGCCTTCACATAAACTTCTCAATGTAATCTATTGATTTAAGCTATCATAGACATTCATTTTTATTTCCCAGCAGTCTTACTCCCGAAGGAACCGCTATATAGCGTCTCATATGAGTTAAGCGATTCTCTAGAGGGGTTTATTGGCCTAACGGTAATTTCTTGTTCTTCTTCATTGATCGCTGAAAAATACCACAAAAAGACCAATTTTTCGACTATTTCGTTCGAGATATTCACTTTTCCCCTGAGGCTTAATTGAGGACCTACTTACAGTTAATACAATATTTTCTTACAAACATACTTTGCATTGATTATCAATATTAATTGTACTGTTGCTATTATCAATATTATTATCAAATATGCAAAAATGTCAGCTATGACCTAGCAACAAGTGTATTCAATTTCTACTTGCTTACCTACTTAAACATCTATCGTTTTCGACATTCATTCAGGCGTGGAGTGCGTTTCTGCTTCTTTTTTCTTTACTGTTCATATATATATCGATTCGATGGATTTATATTTAACTGACATTGCTATCCCAGAGGATTCTGAGATCTAATAAACACTGATTTGCAAATCTATTCATATACATATACACATACAGAAAGAAACGTCAACCTGACTCAATTTATCGATTTCTGTTATTGTTACTGAAAAAGGTAGGTAAAAGGTGGGGCTTAATAATTCTAAGAGTGGAGCAAGTTTTGGTTTTTCCCTAACAATGAAAAATATTTGACCGATCTCGGTGAATTTTCTGTGTATCTTGCCTGTTTCTAAACATTTTAAAATGTGATTATTTTGTGCACATTGTGGAAAAACTGATAAATAATAATAAGCTGAACCATAACTAATTTATAGACTCATTTGTTCATTAAAAAAAGTAAATCATATGTTTTTCAAGTGTTGGTCTGTAGGAATTTGATTGATTGGTTACAGGATTTCACCCCGGTGGATGCTTATTGATGATCAGTCCAAAACTAGGAGGAAACAGCTGTCCAGTACTCTCAGGTTTTCCAATGGTTCTCTAACCGATGTCAGCTCATGATGAAATCTTGCAAAAAATAATAAACCATATGTTCTTACCTCATGGCCATTTAGGCGGAGTGTAATATTCTTGTAATCCTTGTAATATTCTTCTCTCTCTCTCTGTCTCACATACACATCATGACACATGAACTAAAATCAGCTTGAGAGGAAATGTAAGTCAAAGGGAATTGATAAGAAGACTTTTCTCTGCTTTGCAACTTGTCAACAACATAATGAAGATTTAGCACAGGACTATCAGTTTATAAAGTAAGAAATTCACCATTCAGCTCTTGGGTAGGAATTCAAGTTTGCAATATAAGGGTGCTCATAACTGGATTAGTTTAAAAGTCGGACAGTCATCAACAGCTCTTGTGCTCCGGGTCATTGGAACATAACAATAGCATAAGATACACACTGATTTTATTATCTTAAGTCTGTGTCTTATAATGTGTAAAATGACGTGAAAAAAGGATGTAATTCTGGTTGACATAGTAATTCTTCTGAGACTGCCATAAAGATGTTTGCTGTCCGAATAAAACAAGGAATTCTTTACATATACCGTTTGTCTTATAGTTGATTTTAGACAGTAGATTCCGTTTCTCCAATGAATACAAAAAAACTTTTCCTTCACGTTCCCGGTGGAACACAAGGCTTCAAGCGATTGGCTTGAAGTTTCTGTAGCAGTGTTTATTTTACAGGATGGGGTTGCTAGCCTCATGCCCAACCTTTCCTCTTTACCAGCATTATTTCTGGCTTAGCGAGGTAAAGGAGTGCGTCGGCAGGGGATCGAATCCCGGACCATGTGCATGATCGACGAGCGTCTTAACCGCTGTGCCACAATACAAGTAAGAATGCAATACAATACAACTATGGATTGATATTTTCTCATCAGTAGTATACATTTATTACTGGAAAGTTGATCACTGATCAAAATTTTGAAATAACTTCAGTTTAATGGACTGATATTAGCTGGTGAATATGGTAACTGAAGTTAATAAAAAAAGAGCACTCATGGCTCTTTTCAGACTGGTCAACCGATGATCGACTGAATTCTTCATCCTGTTACTTAACATGTAAGTGAGATAAAATATGACTGAGCTATCAGTGTAAAGGTTCTCATCGCTCAACAACCAGGATTGTAAGACAGTGGTCTCAAAGTCATGTATTAAAGCCACGTTCAAAGTGGGGCAATATCTTTTTACTATAAAAAAGAAATGTCAGAATGAGAACAGTTGTACAATATTACTTGAGTAAGAAACATTGTTTCACGTCAAACTATTAAAAGCTTTTGTTGAATTTCCACACTGCTAGGGGCGTAATTTTTTCCCACCTACCTAAACTATTCAAGCAATAGCTTTCAAGGTGTTTGCAGATTCCAAAAATTCAACTGATACAGGCGATTATCGGCGTGAATCGATTGACACGCCTTAGAAATGAACATTATAATTACTTATATGAGATCCATTATGCTGATTTTGCCTTATGTTCGGGATAAGAAAAACTGCACACAATTAACAAATAGTCTAAATCTTCATTGTAATCGATTAATTAGATCATTATCCGATATCTCTACACTAATCGGCATTTATCATTAATATGTTTAATGAGTACTTTTAAAAGTTATACCTTTTATTGTTTTTTTTTTGGTATAACAGGTGAGTGAAATCTACTTTGACTGATTGACTGTGTTCAGTACATTATTCAGTGTAAGTGCAATGGCCACGACAATGAGTTTATCTACAAATATCGATTTATCATCACGTGGACATGATATTATGATGCAAGGGAATAATAACCCATTAGATCAATCTATTACACCACAGTTATTCACTCAATTAGGACGTGATTCAGGCGACTTATGCTCGCACTTAAATATGGTTGATAAACATTTAACTAATTCTGGTTTTCCGTTTATACCACACTCACAATATTCCCTACCGAGTCAGCTGACATCAAATTCACATTTAATCAATACACCAAATCAATCAAATTACTTTACACAATCTACACATTTGTCTGCAGCAGCTTGTGTAGGTATGTTACAACAACAGCATCATAACCAACAAAATCACAACCAACATCATCAGAGTTCAGAGTTGAAACGTGATGATTATGAAATGTTAGGCATGTCAACAGATCCAACTAACCAGTTTGGTTTGGTACGTTCATGGATAGCACAGCAACAACAACAACAGAATCACCTTCAACATAACTCTTCAGATTGTACTGTTTCATCAGCAGAACAACCCAACTTTTTACAACAACAACAGAATGTATCGAGTCATTCTCACAATTGTTTTATGAGTCAATCACAAAATAATAATTATTATCAAATCTTACCAATATCACCGATTTCAGGAGGTAATCTGAATAACACTATTAATACTCGCAATAATAGTAGTGGTGGAGTGGTATCAGCCTATTCAGCTGTTGCAGCTGTGCATCAGCTAACTCAAATGAGTCATCAAGTGGTTGGGGCAATTAATAATCACCAACATAACAGTAGCAGTAATGACAACGAGAATAACTCAGCTAGTTATTTATTCGATAGTTCAACAGGTTCAATAATTAATTCACATGCTTCATTCAACAACAGAGGATTACCGAATCAAGTAAATAGTGGGACAAGGTAATACAATTATATATTTTTTAAATATTTTTAATCTGAACACTTTTTACCTTCAGTTCAAATGATTTCAGAAAAAGTATTTTCTGAGTGAATACATAAAACAACCATTGATAACTCAATTGTAGAATTTAACAGCTGATTTGCTTATATAAAACCGTACAGTAACAAATCACTTGAATAAATCACAATTACAGTATTTCGTTTTTCGAATTTGCCCACGGATTGATATCAGTTAGAGAACCAATGAGAACCAGGGAATAATTGACAGCCGTTTCGTCCTAGTTTGGGAATCATCATCAGTACGCACCCACTGGGGTTCGAACCCAGGACCTTCTGGTTATAGCGCAAGCTCGTATACCATTCAGCCACTGGGACCCGATTCAATGGCCCATGAATTCTAAATTCTACTAATTCATGATTTTAGTGCGACCACCAACAACTGCCAAGTACTTCCTGGTTTTCAGTGGTCCTCTAACTGATATCAACCCGTGGTCAAACTCAAAAACAAATCTAATCCTTGCAAATCAACTCTTGAAAACAGTATTTCGTGTTCCAATCGGTTGTACCTACCCGTCTAATAAAAGTGAATTATATGGATGTAACTGAACTACTCAAATCACTAATTCAACTTATCACATTTTCAAAATATTTCACTGACAAGTGGATTGTACGTCATGATTTCGAGTGAATATCTAAAAGTCTAGCTAACATGCAATGGGCAGTTAATAATTACCAATATGTATTTGCAGTCATGACCACAAAATAACTTCATTTAGAGAACCACTGAAAAACCAAGAGGTACTAGTTTCGTCCCATTTTGGGACTGCTCAGTACCACGCTCCATCGCCTCAACAGGGATCGAACCCAGAACATTGAGGTTACTTGACGAGCTCGTTGACCACTCAGCCACTACGGCATATGAATTCGAACTTCTGCCAATTTGCGATATATAGTGAGGCCATCAGTCAACTTAATCGACGTGTCTTTATTCTGACACCTAAGGTGATGAATCTAGTTGGTCATGACTGCTCACTGGAACTTCAGGTAGCTTTGTCCTGTAGTTAGTCACTTGTGAGCACTAGACTAATTTCCAAGTGACATTAGCTTATAATGCAGCCATTAAAGTGTCCATTCTTATGATAAATTCAAATACATCAAGTCTTTGTGATATAAAGAATGGAAAAAGTAAGTTATAAAATATGTTCTTTACACGGATTCTTTTTTCTTCATGTAATTATAGTTGTGAACACTTCCGGACATTTGAACATTGTTATTATGTTCATCATCAATAATAGAACTAGCAGTAGTATTAACATTACAAAAATAATTTCCCTGATAACTTGTCCTATTGTTAAATTCCATCACCTGCTCAGCCATAATTACAGTGAGATTTCGTCTTATTCACTGGTACATCGTTCGAAATCCACATTGTAATTGTCCTTGTGTGTTTGTATGCATGTGTATTTGTGTGTGTGTCAAAGAGAAGGAGAAGGAAATGGAAAATTTGGAAAAAAGACTCTAAATGAACAGGAATGATTACGTCATCGGTAGGCGAAAACGTGAATATGTAGAAAGAACTTGTTTCTTATCATTGTAATGGTGTTAATTTTGGGATTATGTATATTTTTTATCAATGAAATAATCATATGGTACAGAATATAATTAGTTTACACCAGTAACTAGATAATATTTTCCTCTTCTTCCTTACCACATGTAGGTGCTCATTATCGCTGAATATTCCCAATTATTCACATACCCTATCATTTGTGATTTTTGCTTTTAGCTTCCAATTTAACGAAAATACCGGAATGATAGCGACTGGAATCACTATGCAGGCATTTGAATGTATTTGAGGGACAGAGGGGGTGGAGAGGACGGGGAGGAAGTCAATGATCACAAAAAATAATTATTCCACTGATAATTTTCAAGCATTGGTTTTGTAGGGATTTTGTTTGATTGGTTGGAGGATTTCATCATGAGCTGATACCAGTTATTTGCTCTGTGAGCGAATTGATATGATTATGAGCAATAGTTTGTGCTCAAAACGTCACCAGTACTTATATACTTACATCAGTTATTTTTATTTGATAAAACGTCGTGATAGATTGCTATTTACTAATGATGTTTCAGACAGGATTTATTGCTCATTATTAAATTAAGGCGCTTAAATAACATTCAAAATTTGTTTAAATAGATCCGTCATTACTTATCCTTTGGTTTCATTGGCAATAGTATATTTTGTTATTGGTGCTCAATCATTCCTGTTAAACGTATTTGGTGTAGATTCGATGACGAAAGGTTCAATAGTCAAAGTCGCCGTCTATCCACTTAAAATAAATTCTCTGGACTGCAGCTTTATGTTATTGACTGCTTGATATGAATAGTTGGAAACAACTCACACCAACCAGTGGTGGTTGCTAGTCAGACAGAAGTGACCTGAACACTCGTAGGCTATTTGGCTCATTTGCAGCTGGGCCGGTTTGACTCAGCTCAGAGAGTTGAATCAGCTGAAACCATCTAAATTCTGGATAGCTAATTGGGCGAATCGGTAATACAGTGAATCTAATTCGAGATCACATACTGTGAACTGAATAATTTCAATTTCCATCGGAACCTTTCGTAAAATACCACCTCAGAGTGTGAAAATTGCAAATCTCAACATAGTTTGGCTATGTGGTGGCGTATAATTCCATCATATAGTAAGTTTACTTGGTAAAAGCACACAATAGTTCAGTATCATACACTAATGATGTTTCGATCACAATTTATTGCTTATAATCGTATCACAGAATGACTCACATAACTTTCAAACTTCGCTTATATACTTCAATTATTTGTTATTCTTTGACTTTACTGTTGATAATATTCTCCACACATATGCAGTTTCCGTATTGAATCAGTCCAGTTATACCACCAAGCTACATTATATTTTAGGATTGTAGCTCTCTCTCCATCCAGCACCACTGTGTGATTGGCTCTTAGTGGATGCATTGCGACTGCTGCGTTCTTCTCTAGGCTAGTCATCTTTCTGGCGTCAGTCACTCTACATTTAGCTAAATTTATATGTTCCGTTAACCTGGCTTACACACATGCAGTTGTTCCCAAAATTATTGCAAGATGTTTTCAGACTGAATTAACCATATAAACACAGTTTGAACGGTAAGTAATTGCCTCAATATGATTATGAGCAATAAATTGTGCTAGAAACATAATGAATAAATAATACTACATCGCTGCATGTGTGTTTGTTATCAAATAAAATTACTCGCTGATGGAGTTGTCCTCTACTACAGTGATCGAATTCAATTCTTATATCGTGCTTTATAAGTAATGTATTCACAACGTGTAGTAAGAGTGGCTAATTTCCACAAGTTCAAATAGTATTTACTAGAAATATTATGGAAGCAATCAACAGTTGTAGGGTGAACTTTACACGAAATCACTAGTTGGTGGGAATAGGTAGTTTTTATTGGCTAAACACTGATGTTTACTGAAAAAGAGGGAGAAGAAGAAGTGGCTTCTTGTTATGCGTCGATTGCGCTAATCACATCTGGAGGCTAATTCCATGAAATACCATGTTGATCAAAACTTTGCAAACGATTAAATATCTTTTATACTGGACTGCAAAATTACTACTGTTTAAATAATTAAGTCATAAAGGACTTCTGCACACTGATGACATGCTGTACACTATGCACTAAATCATTGACTGAGACACTCATTCATTCATTAATTCCATCATAGTCAATTTGTTGAATAATATTTAGGCATAGTAAGTACAAGACTTCATAAAATATCCATTTCCAGTTGAATTATCAAGGACTTTATGGGTATACAACCACTGGTTAATAATAGCCCAACTATTATGTAGAGCGACCCTCCGCCAAATTCTTATAAAAGAGGACAATAAAACATTCTTTACTAATGAAGTGTTTTCGATTAAATGATACTCACTATACTGGTGAGGAATTCGACCTTTCATTAACACTGTGATGATTTATTTTTATCCGTCGAAAAGAAGTTGAAGATACTCCCTTAAAATTTAAACAGAATTAATTATTATTACAATTACTCCTACCTGTAAGTGATTATTTAAACGACTGCCACATATACGATTATGTAAACGCTTTTGCGATGCGTCCTCAACCCAGATTTCATAACTTATTTTGCTTATCAGCGGGACGTCTTCAACCTGTATGGAATTCATGACCATGTAGAAGTTATAAATTATTTCACAGTGCCATTTCACCGAGTAAATGAGAGTAGAATTACTCGGTTATTGAATCCAACCATTTAACACCTGAAGGAAAGTGCACCGTAGTATATAGCAGTATTATGTATCTTCAACTAGTGATCATTTCACACAGTTGGTCAGTGAGTTCTAATCACTGCTAAGCACTAGGCAGCTGTTCTGCCTACCATCCGACGACATGTCTGTATCCTTTCTTATGTATCTTAGATTTTTCCAATAATTAACCGACTTTTTGGGAACAATATCTAAAAATGAGTAGTCACAAAGTTATACCAGAGTATGAAAAACCTCAGATATATATATATATATATATATCGCACCAACTAGAATTGATTCTTTAATCCACAACTGTTGAACCAAATGACACCACCATAAAACTAACCTCGTTTTAATTCTTGCAGCTCAATGTGTTCTTATTCAGAAATGTAATGGCGGTAATTAAAACATTGATATAAGAATAAAACTTGTGTATTGTGGTGGAGTATAGTTCCATTATAGGTAAAATTTTATTTTGATAAAGTTTCACAGTGTTATACAGTAATATTTACTGATGACGTTTCCAGCACAGTTTATTGCTCCTAGCCAAATTATTTAGAGTTGTCAAATGTTCACTAGTGACTGGTCCTATTCAGGCAGTTAACCTGGGGTTCTAGTGGGAAGCCGTGACCAGTAGGGTACAGCAGGTTGAAGATGAGGCAGTAACTCATCGAAGAAGACATTGAGAAGTGGTCGCGCTATGTCGTGAACTGGCAGAAGTTAGAATTGGAGGACCATTGGATCGGGTCCCAGTGGCTGAATGGTCTACGAACTCGCCTTGTAACCAGAAGGTCCTGGGTTTGAATCCCGGTGGGTGCGTACTGCTGAAGAGTCCCAAACTAGGACGAAACAACTGTCCAGTACTCCCAGGTTTTCCAGTGGTTCTCTAACTGATGTCAGCTCATGATTAAATCCTCCATGCAATCAAATGTATATTAAACATGAAATATAACTTGTCAACCACATCCACTGAATAGCTGATCAAATCTCATTAGACTGAATAAGGTTCAAAGTAATTACCCATTGGTTTAAATACTAATAGTTACAGCAATGAATCAAGAATGCCTGTCATAGATTGATTTCATTCTATGGAGATTATTTCCCTTATTATCAACATACCCATTCATTTAACCTTTTAGCTTTTGTTTTCAGTCTTGGAGAATAATTAAACATGAGTTTTCGTAACACTGTATAGTCGACATTTCAAAATATTTCCCTCAGTTATACAATAATTTATTGCAAAAAATTTATGCTTTTCATAGGTATGCACATAGTACACCTGGAATGGAAGTAGCGTGGGCTCGTTTTGAAAAACAACCACCGAACAATTTACGTAAAAGCAATTTTTTCCACTTTATTATTGCGCTTTATGATCAGAATAGACATCCAATTGAAGTAGAACGTGCTGCATTTATCGATTTTGTTGAAAAGGACAAGGTATGTGTGTTGTAATTAATTATTCTTTAAAAATTCTAATTTAAGTCATGATATTTTCACTAAATCTGAGAACAAATGTTTGTTTTTAGCAACTGTTTCGAATTAAACAAATGCAGATTTAGAAGCCTTAAACTAGCATTGTCTTATGGAGAGTTCTGGTGGGTGGAAAATTTCGTTTTATTTAACAAAAGGAGCAAAGTTCAATCAACACATGAGTAATTCTGAAAGAATCTTCTGTACAGAACTATTCCAGTGCATCTTTTGTTCCATTTGAGATTGTTAACGTAATCGTTACAATGAAATATAGTAAGATTAATGTTAAGTGAACATATTCTCATTGTCGCTTAAGTGCATTCTTTCATATCACGCATGACAATACCAAAACAACTGTTTAAGTTCCAGTGATAGATTCATTTAGAAACCAAGACGGATTGACAAAGGCTGAATTTTAACAATGCGACTGCACACCCGCCTCATAATACTTTAGGAGATGTAGGATATCGACAGTTACTCAAGATACATTGTACAAAAATGCAAATGTTTATGTTGTAACTCCTAAAATACTTGTTCTACTGAGACCAGAGACAAATCAAAACAACAAATTGGTAGTTCAAAATACGATATATATTTCAGGATCGAAATTACAGAGCGGTGATGATTAATTATCTAGCTAAAATAGGTTCAAGAGTAACCAAAAGTAACAAGACAACGTGCCAAATATCGTGGATGCTGAATGTAGAATGCTATAGATTAATAATTTTTGGAGTTATTTAGCGTTACGATGCTGCATACGATTATGGTAGCATGTTATTGGAGGCTTCCAAACCAGAAGAAAACCGCTCTTCAGTAGTGCTCACTATCTAAATATTCTTTATCTGATAATAGATACTATTAAATCTATTGTACAGACTACACAAGAATGAACTATTTGTTTCAACTTTATAAGTCACTCATACTTGTAATCAATCAAACAGCAGGATTTGTACACCAAAATGTTTGCATAACCTTCATTTCAACAAACAGAACACGTGATCATTTTTCCATTTTTGTTCTGATGAGCACGCAATCACTCGAATGAGTTAATGCTTTCTCCTTTTTACTATAACAAGTGGACTAAAACGAAAAATTTTCTCGCTAAGAAATCTAATTAAAAAGAAAAAGAAGGAACCAATATAAGAAAAGTGATTTCAACTATCTGGAAAGTGAAGGAAAATTAAAAACCTAAGAAACTGATATTATTAAGTGAAAATAAAATTGAAATCTCCAGCTACTTATATTCATTCATTTATTTTAATCATTGATTTATTGATTCTTATTGTCCTATGAACTGATCTTATTTTCCCATGAGTACACTGTATACTGAAAGCGTGTTCAGAAACTAAATTGAATTGTGATATAGTGGGTAACCTATCGTGTTAGATCATTTTCAATTTTATGAATAATAATACATGAAAAAGTAAAAATTAATCTTTGTAGATTTCCTGCTGTGTTTGCATGAGCCTATGGAATTCACTTGTTAAACGTGATGTTTGAATATTGTGATCAGTAAATGAAGATGAATGGATTCAAACTTTATTGTATGTGTTATGAATCCTCACTGATCTGAGGAGGAGTAGTTTTATGGGTGTAAAAAAACAGTTATTATAAATCTCATTTAAATTCAGATTTAATATTCATTGGTAGCGTTAAGTTCCAATCAAATACTTTATCTTACAAAACTATATGAATGTTAAGGCTAATTTTAAGTCAGATGATTGATCATACTGTCTAACAGATATACTGATTTCCTTCCTCTTCAGTAGCTATAGTTTATTTTTTCATAAGTGTGAACATCATTTAAGCCGTGTTATAACTGTTAATTTTGTATTTCCCCTCACCATACTGTATCAGCAGAACATTAGATTCAATGCTGTATAATATGCTAAAATTTTCAAACTGAACCGACAATAATGTTTGACACAAGCTCACCGTTATTATTATCACTATATTTATTATTCTCAATTCATACTTCGAATATTTTTGACTTTATATCGTAAATGTGGACAAATTCCTCTGGTTGATTTTGTTTTAATTTTTAATTTTATTTATTTATTTGAGTAAATCAGATGCAATGCTGTGACAAATGCTGAGAATTCCATTCTATATTATAAGTACTGTTTTTGGAATAATAATTATTATTGTATCCTTTAGTTCCTAGAGGAACATAGGGCTTCAGCTGCGCACCTCCATTGACTTCGGTTTTCTGACAACTTTTTCACCCTGCTCCAGGTCTGTCCACATGCTTTCATCTCCTCTTCGCATGACCTCCTCCAAGTCACCCTTGGACGACCAACTCGCCGCCTCCCTTTCGGGTTCCACTCGAGGGCTTGTCTAGTGATGTCACTTGATGGTTTCCTCAGCGTATGGCCAATCCATCTCCATTTCTTTCTGCCTATTTGTTTCACAATCGGTTCCTGATTGGTTCGCTCCCAGAGATCCCTGTTGCTGATCTTTTCTGGCCATCTGATCTTGAGTATTGAGCGGAGACAGTTGTTAATGAAGGTTTGAAGTTTGTTTGAGATGCTCTTTATGACTCGCCAAGTCTCTGATCCGTATAGTAGCACTGACTTCACATTGGAGTTGAAAATCCGGATCTTATTTTTGATGCTGATTGCTGTTGACCTCCACACAGATTTGAGAGTAATGAAAGCTTGTCTTGCTTTTCCGATTCTGGCTTTGATGTCCTCGTCAGTTCCGCCTGTAGTTGAGACGATGCTTCCCAGGTAGGTGAAGGAGGTTGTTTCTTTCAGGTTCTTCCCATTTATGCTTATTGTTGTCTGTTGTTGTTGTTGTTGCTGTTGATGTTGGCTAGGAATCTTCATCATCTCTGTTTTATCTATGTTCACGTGAAGTCCTATCTTTGATGCTTCTTCTGCCAACTTGTTACTTTTCACTTGCATATCTTCCAGTTTATGGGAAATCAGACATATATCATCGGCGAAATCCAGATCCTCCAAGTCTTTTGTGTCAGTCCATTTTATGCCTGTTCCCTCGTTGGTTGCCGTTGTCTGTCGCATTATCCAATCAATTGCAATCAGGAAGATCATTGGTGATAGTAGACAGCCTTGCCTCACTCCCGTCCTCACTTCGAAGGCTTCCGTAAGTTTCCCGTTGTGGATTACTTGGCATGCAGCATTGTCGTATAACTGTTGGATGAGGTGTATAATTGTCGATGGGACCCCGTAGTAGCGAAGTAGTTTCCAAATGACCTCTCGATCGACGCTGTCGAAGGCCTTTTCAAAGTCGATGAAGTTGAGATAGAGAGGTGACTGCCATTCCAAGCTTTGTTCAATGATGATCCGTAGAGTGGCGATTTGATCAATACATGATTTGTTTCTCCTGAATCCAGCCTGTTCCGGACGAAGTTTTTCATCTAGGGCTTGTTTGATTCTCTCCAGGATGATGCGACTTAGTATCTTGCTTGGAATGGACAGAAGCATAATTCCACGCCAGTTTTTACATTGACTTAAGTCTCCTTTCTTTGGAAGTTTGAATAAGTAACTGTTCTTCCAATCCTCGGGTACTTTGCCCTCTTTCCACACCTTCTCCAGCAGTGGTGTCATCAAGTCCGCTGTTGTCTCTGGGTCTATTTTCAAAGCCTCTGCTGGGATTCCATCTGGTCCCGGTGTTTTCCCAGCTTTAAGCATCTTGATTGCATTCAGGACTTCTGATTTCGTCGGGGGGTCAGTGTTCACTGGTAGTTCTGCTTCCGTTGTTGGTATTGCTGGACGTGTTGTAGGTGGCGGACGATTTAGAAGTCTTTTGAAGTGTTCAACCCAGTGCTTTCTCTGTTCCACCTCTTTGGTGATTGACTTTCCATTGTCGTCCTTTATTGGCTTAATCTGTGTCGAACGTTTGCCCGAAAGGTTCCTAGTTGTTTGGTAGAGTGTGGCGAGGTCTCCTTTGCCTGCAGCTTGTTCTGCTTCGTTTGCCATGGTTTCATAATATTTTCTTTTGTCTTCCCTGGCACTTTCTTCACTCTTTTGTTCAGTGTATTGTAGCTTGCATTCAGCTCCTGTTTTTGTTGCTCGTCAGTGCACTGGATAATCTTTTGCTTCACTGTCCTTCTCTCTTCTATTAGTTTCCAAGTGTCCGTAGTGAGCCACTGTTTGTCCTGTCTCTTTTTTCTGCCTAGAATTTCTATGCAGGTTTGGCTCCACACCGTTTTCAAGTTGTTCCAGTGCTTTTCAACGCTGACCTTTCGCTGGTGTTGATTTGTGTCTCAGCTTTGTCCTTTATGCTTGCAATGAAGATGTCCTTTGTAGCCTGGTCCTTCAGCTTTTGAGTGTTGAACTTGGCTTGTGGTCTATCTGCAGCTCCTGATTCCCTGAAAGCTTTTAATTTGATTTGGATTGTCCCTTGTACGAGATAGTGGTCTGAGCCAACGTCTGCTCCTCTTCTTGCTTTTGTGTCCAGTAGGCTGCGCCTCCACTTCCTTGAGATTGAGATGAAGTCGATTTGGTTTTTGGTTTGCCCGTCTGGTGACACCCATGTAGCCTTGTGGATATCTTTGTGCTTGTATACACTGCCACCAATCACCAGTTCGTTGAAGGCGCAGAAGTCGGCGAAGAGTTCTCCGTTTTCATTCATTTCTCCTAGAGCTTCTCTACCCATGATGAGTTCCCTTCCCGTATTGTCTGGTCCCAGTTTGGCGTTCATGTCTCCCATTAGTATTTTCATGTCGCCAGCTGGAGTATTGTCCATTGTTGCCTGTAGTTGCCTGTAGAATTCTTCTTTCTTCTCGAGGTCTGCGTTGTTTGTGGGTGCATAACATTGTATGATTGACACTTTCCTTCCTTTGGAGTTGAACCTGGCGGTCATTATCCTGGACGAAATCGCCTCCCATTGTATCAGGGCTTTCGTTGCCGTTGGTGACATCATGATAGCCACGCCCTCGGTGTGCGTGTGGTTATCTTCTGGGTGACCGGAGTAGATCACTGACTCACCTGTTGACAATTTGGTGAGTCCACTCCCATTCCATCTGCTCTCACATATTCCCAGCACTTGTATTCCGTATCTTTTCATCTCGTTGGCGATCTGGGCAGCTTTCCCAGTCTCGTACATAGTTCGGACGTTCCATGTTCCCACACAGACTTTTTCTTTTGGTGCAAGAGGTTCATTCTGCTGAAGGTTCTGTAGCAATTTTGTTTACAGGGTGGGGTTGCTAGCCTCACGCCTGAGAAAAGAATGATTACATTAAGTAAAAGTTTAGAGAGAAGCAACTTTTTGGGTTGCTCCCCTCAAAATCAGAAAATAACGGACAAACAATGAGAACAACATCAACAAAGGAAACAGTTCACAGAAAAAAGGGCAAAAAGCGACGACAACTATACAATAAGACAACATGCAATATAGTTCAGTACAGTTAACTAAAATGATATCTTAACCATAAACTCACTGACTTGGAGCAACTTGAACATATAAATCCAACAATATATACAATTATAGATGTGTTTATGTTTAAAAATTCCACAAATCCAAAGTTAGTTATATGTATTATCTGTCAATAAGATTGTATTTTTTGGATTCAGTGTTCGAAAGGTTAATAATTGTGATAGTTTCCGCAAACTCTTGGCATAAAATTTTTACACAAATAAGAGTTTTTATTAATAAGCAAAATGTAGCGTAGTAGTCGAAAAGCGCGCGCGAAGTTCGTTTTTGGAATAAAGTAGATTATTATTGTTATTATATTTACAGAGAAATCTGATACTGCACTAATCGGAAATACACATCTTGGTGGCTAGTATTTCAGTAAGCCTGAGATCTTGATCCCTGGAGTCCTCCGTAAACTACCTAGCTGGGTGATCACAATGCAAATTTGACTGATAGAACTCAGTCACCACTAGGCATACGACACTGTCTACACTTTAATGACCGATCAGTGTAATCAAGAATGTACATATTATTACTTAGCAAAATCCTTATGCACTGTAATAAAATGAACAGTAACTTACATACAAAATATACTACTGAAATAAGGTAATCATAGATAGTGTAATTTATCTGAGATTTCTAATGCACTTGCACAACACTTTTCGGACAATTTGATCATATAGCGTATTTATATGGCAACCTGGGTGTGGTCAAAATTTCCAAAGTATGTTTCACAAATACATTCTATATTTCAGGTGAATTATTTCCTTTATTTGTTGAAATTAATAAAGGGAACCAACTGCCTTAAATTATGGATTGCTCACCAAGAAAGAGTAAGCCTTTCAAAACCCAAGGTGAATATATTTTAGCACCTAATAAATCCTTACCAACTAAACGTACCGTTCTACTTCTGTCACAACAGTATTCCCCCACCTGGGTTCGAACTTAGGCGAGCTCGTTGACCAGTCAGCCACTAAGATGAGGTCAGGTTATCCGCGAATTTCAACGTTTGCCTATTCCCGATGTATAGCACAATTGTCAGCCATTCTCATCGGTAACTGTCCTCTTGCTTGACTTAGTGAACCCCGCTGATTACTACTTCTCACTAGAACTTCAAGTACGCAGTTTGTGATCAAACCTGTAATCAGTCAAATCCCTGCAAACTAACATTTCAAAATTACTTAATTCACTTACTTCATCTACTTTCTTATCTAGGAGATTACATTTATCATATGTACTATATTATTCCTCAAAGTAAACAGAGGCAATTGAGCGATATAATCAATTTTAAAATAACACATTGGTCGGTCACTAGATGGCAACAAGTGTCTTATGTCGAGTTCTTGATGCTGTTGCTACCGTGTGGCAATAAGGAAGAAGCTTAGGTGTAGGGTTTCCTGTTGTCTGTCATCCAATTTTTAATCTGGACAGTAACACACCCACTTAGTTCTAAGGTCCAGCGACTGTATCATAACATAACTAAATTTACTTCACTTAAATATTTTTGGCTATATATATATTCACTAGTAGCTGGGATTGATGATTCGTTTTGCATGGTAATAATCATTGTCGGTAATAACTAGTCATCCACACAAAACATTAGAACACAGAATGAACGATTAAATCCCGTATGTCACAAAAGATGAAGAACGAAAATATCATTAACAAACTCTGTGTTTTTGCTATACACAAAGGATTTGTTGTACCCTATGTTTTCCACATACTTCCTATTCTAGTGTGAAAGTTATGGGCTCACAATGACTCCGATTGTCAATCACATCCATGTATTGAAATGCAAATTTCCTGCTGGATATTCATAAGGCATTTAGGGTTAGTAGTTAGAAATTGTGAACGATATAATAAAGAATTAACAGAAGTAGTTTCAGTTGATCTATCCATAATTTAGAAATTTCACAGGTTCCTTTATATGCTCTTACCTACCTTGGTGATTATTATTATTATTACTATTATTGCCTTAGATTCTCTTATGATTGCTAGTATGACTACTTTTACTCTTCCGTGTCTTCCCCTCTAAACTTATATAACATTTTGCCAGGTCCATTGTTGTATGACATTCTGTAGAATTTGAACAAATACACATTCGTTTCACTAACTGTATTTGGGCACAGATTGGTACCATTCATCCCCATGAAGCACATTTCTACTCTTTTTTATAAAATTACTATAATATCTCTTCAATGTTTTAGGAGCCTGAAGGCGAAAAAACCAACAATGGAATCCATTATCGTATACGTTTACTATTTTCAAATGGTAAGTCATTGGATTCCTTTTGAAAAATATATTTATATGCTTAAAAAACGTATCATTCATTAATAACTAACTGATGAGAGTTTAGTTAGCAGTCTAACTGAAAAACAAACTTGGAAACTGTACTAAGAATTCAGAATTCACATAAATTCATTACCGAATCCTTGACAGAGTCAAGAGTCAGTGCAGTATACAGTGATCAGTTCCAGTAAATAAGTAAATTCTTTTTGGAATTTAGCAGTGACTCAGATAACACAATGGTAATGTATTTGACCATAGAACCAAATAACTTAGACTGCATTCTCAGATGACAGATATGAATTTGTCCACTGATGAATACGCAGGGACAAAATTTTTGGCCAAACTCAGTAGATACAATTGTCTTCTGGTCACTTTGATGATTAATCGGCCTTTCCCTAACGAATAATACAGTCCAAACTCATCCATAGCCTATTTGGAAACTGATATAATATTAGCATAATAAAATGTCGCACGTGACAACACTGAGTGAAGATTTTAATTGAAGTTAAAAATACTTCATTCCGTCCCAGTAATTTTTCCGTAAGATTCTTGCCGCATAGCCTGACGGTGCTGAGCTCTGTTCACCGCCCTCCAGTGCGTGTACATTGTTAAGCAGCTCCAAATTATGATGCTACAGCTGTTTAATGTTCCCTAATTTCCACTGTTCCTCTAAATGATATAGATAATCGGTGTAATTAACCTGAAGTCAGTCAAATATAATTATACTTAATAAATACATAATAAGTAATAGAATATCAATAATGTAAAAATTTATTGCATATTCTGATGGCAGGTCATTAATACCAGTGTTATTAATAAAAGTGTAATTGTGCTGATAAGTTCTAAAAGACAGGTGATTTTAAAATTGAACTCAACACCAATCCTATTACATCCAGTTCTTTCTATGTAAATCTCCGAAAATCCCATTTCATTGTCAGAAAACTGTCTTCAGTGTAGAGGGTGTATGAAATATGCCTTAGAATAAATAAAACATTCCTGAAGAGTAAGCAACTTGCCATCCAATGAAATATTCTTTATTTTTTTTCACTTATAACCAATGAAGTTTCTATTTGGAGCCCTGCTGAAATTGGAACATTTTTGAACTTCACTGTCTGATGAATTATCACTATTTAAGAGTGGACCATTAACAAGAACCTTTAGAACTACAATAGAACTTCTTCATATTAACAGAACTCAGAAAGTGTGAATAGGTGAAAGCATAGTTATCTGGAGAATTTCAGTTGCCTTTTAAAAGTCTTATATGATTTCTTTTGTAAAGAAATGATTTTCTCTTAGTTTATTCTCAAAAAGAAAAAACCTCAAAAAGTATATGCCTTCACTGAAAGTACACGTGATGAATGAAGTTACTTTCGTTTGTACCTATAATTATGGATATCCAAGAGAAGAATTGAAATGCACACAACACATATAGCATCACCTGCTGCTATAAGTGTTTCAGGAATAAGAGATGAAATAAGAGTTTTATTATCTTGGTTCTCCGCTAGTCAGTCAGAAGATAATAGGCTAACAGAAAGACACATACACGCACGTATACATACATGACTACATACATCCCCGAGTATATTTATATTGTCAAAATATCACTAAATGGGAGTGGTAAATCACTTCTACTTTCTTAACTTTCTGACAGTAACTCTACTTTAGCCATAGTTAACGTACTGATGTAACTTTTCTTTATCTAACATAAAGATACCGATATTGCACGTGTCTCAAATAAATAATTATGATGGCATTAATAATAATAAAATATATGAAAGTTGTTTTGAATAAAGTGGATAGTGAAAAAGAATTACTTTTTTCCAGAATAAAAGAGGAAAGTGAAAAGAAGTCAGCTAGGTAAAAAGGTTATATTCACTTAGCCTTTCTACTGACGAATGCTCTTCATTTTGTAAAACTTAAATAAACAAGTTAGTTAGTGTGTGATTTTCAGAGGAATGATTATTAACAAGGACAAAATTAACATACTTTCTTCATTCGATTTACGCGTCAATGATAAAAAAATGTCAAGTTTTGAAATTCCTATCTAGAATGTTCAGTGCATCAGTCGAAAACTTAACCACTGAAAAGTCAGCCCTCAAGATACAGAAGAATCAAATGCATAAAATTGTCAGGGTTGTACACCAGAGCAGATAAAAGGCAAGTAATAAACAATTATTAAAAATAGGTAACTCCTGTAACCCTAAAGACAGATGTTCGCAATCTTATAATGATCTTGAATTGAATTTTTGATTTTTCCGTCGATTGATTGGACCGAAGTGCTCGCTTTCAGCTTGACATGTCGGCTTCTTGTGCAGATGCTTCGACGATGTCTGGGGATTTGATTTGTATACAATTGGTGATGATCTCTTGAAATGCCGAGATTATACATCTAACTTATCTCGACAAATACGTTGGGTTTCAAAATAATTTGTTGATCGGTGAAAGTAGTGTGAAATTGTGGATAAGTGTTTTAAAGTGTTAGTTTTGCAGGGCTTGGTTAGTTCCAAGCTAGATCATGAAACGATATCACTTAAGGAACCACTGGAAACCGGAAAATTCTGGGCACTTGTTTCATCCTAGTTTTGGAGCCTTTACAGTGTGTGGCAGTCACTCCATTACCGGCTAACCCAAGACCTTCAGCTAACAAGGAGAATATGTCAGCTATTTAGCCACTGAGATGGAATCCAAAGACCCATGGATTTTAAATACTACCATTTCACGACTTATTAATCAACCTCGAGCCAATGCCATCGACGAGTATTTGACCTGACGCCAGACTGGTGGACTGTTCTCTTATTTTTCATCTTATTCATGCCATTAAGTGGTCCTGATCACCTTTCAGAGGTATACCGACATTATTTCATAGACAAACTCCTGCTACCATGGCAGTTATTTATATGTTAACTGTTTCTGATGACTAACATTAGAGTCCTGAAACCTTCACTTAATCTTATTTTAATGCTTTCATGAAAACGCCATCATACATTATCATCTACTCACACTGAACTCTAACTGACAAATCGTCTATGAAATCAGAAACACATATTAGATCTCACAACTGGCTATCAAGAAACAAGTAGTATTCTGTTTTTCTTCCGTTTAAAAATATTTAGAAGTGAATGTCTGTGCTTTTGTTCTTCCAGTGCGACAATCTCTATTCTAATATACATCACTTAATGTGAATTATTGACTTTATCTCTTATGCTTAGAATGTGTAGACGGATTTTTGAATTAAAACTATATAGCTAAAGAGAATAAGTGCACAAGGCTATTAAATATAATTAAATCCACCTTCAGTAGATAGACAGAATATTTACAAATTACAGTTATCAGAAATGTTTAATACTGTTTTGTAGTTGTATCATCTTGTTTTTCTCTCAATAAATTGTTCTGATGACGTACAAAACACATCTCTAATAAGCTGAATTCACTCCCATGATAAGCCAGTATAGATTAAAATGGAATTCTCCACAAACTGGTATCACTTAAACAGAGAGTCACTAATAACTAAGAACACTGAAATTCCTAAACTCCTACTATATCTGTGCACTATGAAAAGAGGAGACATGAGTAGGGTGAACACCCGATAAGAGGACTCTAGAAGATCTGGATTTCACAGATGATGTATGTTTAGTGTGACACAAACTCGAAGACTTACAGGCGAAAACCAACAAACTGGCTGAAGAGGCAGCGAAGACAGGACTGCAGGTGAACACAGAGAAGATAGAGCTGATGAAGATAACCAATCAACAGCAACAACAACAACAACAACAACCAGCGCCAATCACCATCAACGGGAGACATTTAACAGAGGTTGCCTCCTTCACTTATCTAAGAAGCACCGTTTCATACACGAGCAGCAGGAACGGATGAAGACGTCAAAGCCAGTCAGAATAGGAAGGGCAAGACACACCTTCATCAACCTGAAAACAGTTTGGAAATCTTCGGCACTCGGCCAACATAGACAACAAGATTCGGATCTTCAATGCACATGTGAAGTCGGTCCTTCTATACGGGTCAGAAACTTGCACTGCATGTGAGTCACGCAAAGGATTTCCAGCAGGTTGCAGACTTTCATCAACAGCTGCCTTCGATGGCTCCATACTGAAGATCAGAAGGCCGGCTTGAAAGAATAAGCAACAAGAAACCCTGGCTTGGAACAAACCAACCAAAAGCCGATAGCTAGAAAAATATGTAAGAGAAAGTGGGGATGGACCGGGCATACATCCAGGAAACCATCGAATGACATCGCGCGCAATACAGCTCATTCCTCGAATGCAATCACGATGGGAAACGATGAGTGGGTCGTCAGTGCGAAGGTGACATGAAGGAAATCATGTAACGCGGAGAGGATGAAAGTTTGTGGGCAATCGTGCACCCAGTTGAAGAGGACGGCAGAATATAGGACAAAGTGGAGATGTGTTGTTGAAACCCTGTGTTCCACCCAGAACTCAAGTGAATAATGATAAAATAAAAATATTATCAAAAGAGTCCCAAACTTGAACGAAGCAAATGTTCAGTGCTGCTTGGTGTTTAATGTTTATTGTAACTCCATGACGAAATCTACATTGAAATCAGTCAAATCCTCATTTTTGAAAACAACTAAAAATCAGTATAATTATTACTTCTTTAAAAAACCAAAAGAAGACCAAAAGTATGAAATTTTCTCAGTAGCATTTGTTGCTATTAAATATATGTGTGTAATTTTACGATGGGTAAGTTGAAAGTCAGGTTACAAGATTGTGAATATCTAGTGCTGATAACAGAAAACATAATCTACTGCTTTAGAGACTTACTGAACTAAACAACTAAAGAATAAGTAATCTTACTCTCTACATATTTTAAAATCAATATCATAAAGCCACACGCTTTAAATTTCATTTTAAATGACATTACGAATCACCATTTATGTATTTAATAATATTAGCATTTCAAGTTACATCAGGATATGACTTCACTTAGAGGACCATTGAAAACCGGAGAGTACAGACTGGACAAGTGCACTCTGTAGTTCGTGTCTTTTCAGTAGTACACACCCAGGAAACCTATCGAGGATCTAACTTGAAATCAATCAAATCCCTTTAAAGCAACACTTAGATATTAACATTTATTAGAAAATGTTCTATTTTTAGTAAAAGTAGACTTCAATGAATACAACGCATGTAAATACTTTTGAATCTTCATAATGAATGTAAGTTTAATAAATAGAATTCTCTAAAATTTTTGTTGTATGCCATGAATGATTCGTTTACTCTATGCATGTCGCAAGCGCATTTGTTTTTATTGACAGATTACAAATGAAGTACTGATTAACCACATTTTTCTTCAGGTGTTCAACAAGATCAGGACTTATACATTAGACTGGTTGATTCATCCACAAAGCAGGTGAATTGATTTTAATCTTTAATTTTATTTATTTCATTCAAAATGTAACAAAATGTAATAATACCAAGATCCATATCTACCTTAGAATGTAAGCAAATGAAGTTGAGATCCACTCATACTAACCTAAGAAACTGTTAATTATTATTTGACCTTTTCGTCTCACGTTCATTAGAAACATAAGGAAATAAGGATTGATAATTATCGTAGTTTTATCTTATGTTGCAGAGTCAACTTCTTGACTTTAGTTGTGATATGTCAATTAGATTATGATATAAATATTCAACGCATAACATCATATGCTTAAAATGAGGTGTAATTTATTACTATTGTTATATTACTACTACTACTGCTACTAGTGCAATCTGCAATAAGCGATATTTGTGACGCGAAGAATAAAAAATACCATGTGGCTATCAAAACAGAGGTGACTAGCTGTTAACTCATTCATTAGTGATTGGTTAATAATTAGATATTAAAGTCACCAAATAAAATCTTTATAAGAAAACGTAAGTAGACCAACAGCAGAAGACTCACCAGCCACACAACAGGTTCAGCTTTAATTTCGTAAATCTCGCCTAGTTTAATAGAAGGTGATAAGTTAGGGAAGTAGGTAAAGTTGAGCGTGAGGCTAGTAGCGCCACCCCAAAAATTATAACAACTGCTACTGAAACTTCAAAACCTTGAAGCCCTATGTTTCATTTAGAAAGGAAAACTAATAAATAAAACAATGAATTGCCTAGATGCATTCACTTTTGTCAGTTAATTATCCATCCTACAGTTGTTCTCTGCTGTTTTGTTTCTCTCAAGCTAAGGAATAAACTAGAACACTGATAAGTTTAACGTTTTAATCTAACACTTAATCAGGTTTTACGGTTAACATAGACTAAAAGTATACTTTCGTGATGAAAACAAGAGTTAGTAAATTCTGCGATGAAACATGAATGCTAGAGATATTCTGAGCTTCAGAATTTCCCCTTTTCACCAATACATTAGAATATCTTGCTGCTTGCTGCATAAACAAAGTTTTGTCATTCTGTATCATTCAGTATGTGCTTCAGTGGCGCCGATCATGCACATGGGCCTGTTGACGCACACCTGATACCAATGGTCGGCCCGCTAAATTTGGGCTATCGATATCACATGCTGAAAATTCCATACTTCTACCAAAAATACGGAATCAAGCTATCATCAAATATATATATTTGATTAGAAATTCTGAATAATGCAAATGTAGGTAAAACCGATTTTATAATTTTATATATATAATGTCACCGGAGTACAAGGGGTCACATACACAGTACGTCCCTTACTATACAGAAGTGATAATTTTGGTGCTTAAAAAAATCAAAGAATTTTCTATCAGTATCACTTACGAGTGGTTTTAACTGTAGCGTCGCAGTCCGTCACTATGATGGTTTAGTGACAAGTTATATTCTTTTATGTGATTTTAAATGAAAGTTTGCATTAAAAAAATTTTTTTCTGATATGCATAATATCAGTGGTGTAATGTACTTTAACCGCGTTACACTTGTATCAGAAAATGTCTCTTGATTCTGATATCTGTGCTATGTAATGGATTAATGGAGGCAATAATTTCAAAAGTTAAGCGTGTATTTTCGAATTTTTGTGAGATAATGTTAGCATATTTGGATTATTTCTTGAAACATGGTAATACCCACCGGATAAAGCAGGTGGCACCACTTCAAAAGAGGGATATGTTGTATAGTCGCCCACCACCAACTAGTAGTATTCTGGGAATATTATTAAATACTGTAAACAGAGAGATGTCTACTCTTCAACTCAATACTAGAGTATAGGTTATATTAGGATTTATGTAGTTGTGATGTTATTAACTTGTAAAAAAAATTCAACTTCATTTCATTAATTCATTGTAATAACTATTTGGAGCATATTATAATGGTTTAAAGGTATGTTTAGAGAAAATGATAACACAGAAACAAACATCACTATGAGCATTACAATCTGAAAGTAAATTATCCAGACTTGATAAACAGACAGTGAGTCTTGAGAGTATATAGACTAACTGTGAATAGACTGAAAGGAAAGTATGAGGTGTTCAGCTGTACACATACAGTCTTCTGTAACAACTTTATACATAGTTTATTCAATTATTCTGGCATATGAGACAATCGTCACTTTGAAAAATGGTAACTTTGATTGAATTTATTCATTCTTCTGAAGCTAATCGTAATAAAATATAGACTGAATGAAGGTTTCATTGGAGTGTGATGATTCTTTGCAAGCCATTGGCGATGTTCTTTAACCGACTGCCTACAGTCACAATTTTGGTTCTAAGTGATGCTTTATGTGGATTTTACTAATGATTTCTGGGACAGTAGATGATTATCACTTTTTAGATGACTTCTTTAGGTAGTCTCATACATTTTTTTTATACACAGGAAATGGTATGTAACTGCTCAATTATGCTGCCTAAAAGATCTTAATTGGAAATAACTTAACAAGTGAACAACACAGATTTTAATTCCTAACACAAATTGACGATAATCTAATAGAGTAAATTAAAGAATAACAAACCATGCTGATTTGTAGACTCCACCATCAGCTTAGTCTTTCTGAATGCATCACTGATAAGCTCAACCTCAAAACATAGGAGTATTCCTCTCTAATTTGGTCCATTTCTATCTAATTAACTGGGTGCAAGCAGTTTCTGGATAATGTTCTTCAGTACGATTTTCAGTTAACGTATATAAACTTTCCACTATCAATCAGCCAACGAAAGTTTCTGAAAAAGCAAATTAAACCATACTATAGCTAATTGGGAGTGAAAAATTTAATGCGTTACCTTAAATCAGTCAGATAGTATAACATTTCCATAAGAATTAACTGGCGGAATAGTAAATAATACAATCGAATAATCACCTTAGTTTGACTCATTTACTAAGGAGTTGATTCCCACTCAGTATCATATTTGACATTTATTATTATTGTTTATCGCGTTCCTTTTCATTGTCTATTTATCCATTGAAGCCTATCGCTTATGAAGGACAAGATAAAAATCCTGAAATGTGTCGAGTGTTACTTACTCACGAAGTGATGTGTAGTCGATGCTGTGAAAGAAAAAGTTGTGGTAATCGAAATGAAACACCATCTGATCCTGTAATATTAGATCGGTAAGCGTTTCTTAAATTTCAGAATAATTCATTTTTCATTTTTGGAGAGGAATTTTATGATCTGCAACTGTATCCACAGGGTAACTTAACAAGGTTTTGTTCTGAATACACAAAACTATATACATTGAAAGAACATATAGCACAGCTTAATCTTTACTGTTTGTTCGATTGGTGCTAAGAGAATATTTTGAATGCTAATCTTAAAAGTCAAGTTTGTCTCACTAATTAATCATTTATCTAAGGTAAAATTCTAAAGAAATACGTATCCTCCTTCAAAATATCAAATATTGTTACGATTTTACCCAATTTTTATTGACTAGCAATGTTATGAATGTTAGTGTATTTGTAAAAGCAGTAAGCAACTAATGCATGAGATTGTTTCATTCTCCTCGACTGAAAAATCTCTCTTTGTCAGTATTTAATATTGTAATAGAATATTGAGCAAATGGAAAGTTATTCATCAGCTCATAGTATATAACTAAATAATTTGATAGGTTAAAAGATTGGTCGTATACCTATTTGTCTATTGAAGTTAGAACTTATTAAATTGTATTGTCATTTATCTATCCTTTTTGTTGCCCTATTCCCTTCATCTATCACATGATGATAACAGAAACTGACATATCATAAAAAGTTTATCATATTATAACTATGAGTAATGTGAAGACGGAAAGTAATTTGTTATTTCTCTTGAGAAAGCAAATATTCCTTTTTCTGCGGTTGTCTTAATTAATTTATGACGTTGGCAGTGTCATGTTGTACTAATTAACTTGGTCAGAAAATTCTGTTTTTTTTTAAACAATGAACATTCAAGTTTCAGTATTTTTGTTGTTGTGCAGATTTAAACTCTGTAGACTCTTTAGACCTATTGAGTAACATTTTAATGAGAAACCATTTTACAAACAGTCTATCCCATTTCATAATTCTTGACATTTTTTTAAAAAATAGCAGAGAAATTTTGTATTAGAAGAAAAGTGAGTTAATTTGCTTCTTCCGGTTTATTATCCGGTAGTAAGCCCGCAAAAGATGAAAAGTTTTGCACAAACACCCTTATTGCTATAAAACCTTCAAAGTATCAGAAGTAAAATTTCTGTCCATTGGAATCTACAGGAAACTTCAGTTTGTAGATGGATGATGTCAGTGGGTGGAAGCCTTTAGAAGACTGCTCGACTGATGTATCTTCCTTAGAAGAAAGTAAATAATCCTTATACTAAATTTTTATTAGAAGAAAATAATTTACTGCCATGTTTCAACGAGCTGTTGCATACTTAGTAACATAAATTAAATGAGACAAAGGTGGGACATTATTGATGCTGGATGCAATGCCACAACTGAAAACTTATTTAACTAAAGATGAATATTTAGACAGCAAGAATCGTTACACACCGTAATGCAATATACAGGCTGTGTGAATTCTTTTATCCAGGACATCTTTCATTGACTACGTCTTCTTTTGTAAAACTCTTTACTGAGTGAAGAGTATATACTTGGCATCGAAGTGAAGTATTTTTGTAATTTAAGCTACTATATTTATTTAGGAACTTAATAAAACCAAAAAGTAAATCGAGCAACATAATGTGGATTCACTGATTAAACACTGCAGTAGTATCAATGAATTTTATGTAATTCAAAAAAGGAATTAATTTCCAAGGTATGGCCAGTTACAACTGCTTGATTATCATAAAAACAACGTTATCCACAAGGAAGGAGTGGGGAAGTAAACAAGAAATTGAAAAAAAACGATGTGGGAAATAAAATCCAAGGTGTGTTAAATAACCAGCTCTTTATTGTTTGAGTGAAAATGAAATTCGAAAATATGTGCATCAATGTCTTAAGTTACTCAGCGCATCTTCCATGGTTTCGAAGAACCAATCGCATATTATATTATTGGTCAAAATCTCAATGAATTTTCTTGATATCTTAAACTCATCACACTGAAGTTCCTATCCCCTTCTCCCTCTACATATAGTTTAGCACTTTAAAGTGTGTAGGATAAATTTCACCTACTATTTTCATCCAAACTTTCAAGTCAAATGGTCTCTAACTATGTTGCCTACCTAGTGAACATGATCTAATTCTAGAAATATTTAATCTAAAACAATTAGTCCCCTTTATAAATTTAGATAAAGCAATAAGAAGACGTAACTTTTCTGAATCGTGTGATGTATTTGCGCAACACATTTCGAACAATCTGATCACACACGGACTTGTCATAGCAATATATATATGAAATTAATAAAGAGTTTTGAGGTGAAAAAGTAGACTACTTAGGTCAAGTTAAAAGGACATATTGAAGGTCACTAAACCAATTAACGGAGGTAATAGCACATCCACTATGGTATCAAAACAAAGTTTACCAAGAAAGGTTTAGTATGATGACGAATTGTTTTAGAAAGCATGAAGAGGGGGTTTAAACTTCCTAATTGCCTGCTAGGGCTTCCACAAACTTCAAGATACGCCCCAAACACGTTTTATAGATAGGTTTAAAAGACGTGTAAACGTCAATTTTATGTCCCTTCTCTATAATATGTTTCGCAATAGAGGAGCTAAGTCTCCTCTTCTCACCATTAATGGTTTCTCAAGATTCCATTCGTTTCTGGAGCCATTTAGGAATATGCTCTGAAGCCCTTACTTGAAGGGATAGATGAATCCTTTCTATGTATGTGTGTCCACTCGTACATTCAAATTGATAAATACAGTGGGATATGACATCAGTTTTCACATATATATATATATATATATATATATATATATATATATATGGGCTTCACATTCTCAATTATTATGATATTAGCTGCATAGAAAGTCTTTTTAACAGTAGCGTTCAGTCTTTGCCTAGGTATCAAGCTTCTGTGATGCCCTACATAGGATGGCTTGATGTACACGTCTTTCTTAGGGGCGAGTTGTAGAGTGGGTCTTGGTGTTCTGACTACTTTATATCTCCTGATGAATTTATATGGATAATTGTTATCAACCAGAATTTGTGTCAACTTTCTTTTTTCTTCATCAAGTGTGTCTTAAGTGCATTTTTGTTGGATTCTACTGAAGAGACACCTTACTACGACTCTTTTGTACCGAACAGGGCAGAAACTGTGGTAATTAAGGTACCTTCCTGTCCAGATAGGTTTTCTGTAAATAGATCTTATTATTGACCCATCAAGCCGTCGACTAAGCAATATGTCTAGGAAAGATAATTAATTATCTTCCTCTTTTACAGATGTAAGTGATATACTATTCGCTATTTCCACTTCATATGGGATTCACCATAAAATATAAATTTTCAACTCTCATCAAACATCTCCAAACCTTATTTACACACTGCTGTCACCGGCCGCACATTTAAAGAGTGAAAACAATTTACAATACGCTCACAAACATTTACTAGATAATTTATTAGAACTATCAGGTAAGTATAGATCAAAAATGTATCAGCAATGAGGATCAGAAATTCAGAAATCATCAGTCCATAGTGTTAGCTCTTTTTACAGTCAATCTGTCAAATCCCCTATCAGTATACTCTGCTTATATATATATATATAATTAACTGACAGAAATTGTCATACTGAAAATATGATAGACAGTTGTTTAAAATGTTTTTCATTTCTCTCTAGTTCCTCTCAGAGAAAATGCTAACTAAAACAAAAGCAGAATTTCACACATGTAGGGAATGTTCTAGTCACTATATATATACGCATTTATGTACATAAATGAGAAATAGGTAAAAGGCAAATGAAATTATCTCTTTGTTGCATATATATGGGGATGTGAAAAGGAAGAGGGAATCAAAATGACGAAAATGGAGAGAGTGGGAGATGGAAAGACGGGGCGGCGGGGGAGAATGAAGGGGAAAAGAAGATGATTAATGTGCTAATGACATATAAACACATGGGAATTTTATCAAATATGAAGTGAAATTTATTAAAGTCACGAACTGCATTGTTGGTTCGGCTTTAAAATACATGGAAAAAACACGGAATCTGTGCATATCCAGGAGTATATGAGTGAATGATGAAGTCTAAATGGAAGAGAATATAGGTTCTTTCTCCCAATATATATATATATATATATATATATATATATATATATATATGACATATTTTCTAAACGTTTTTCTGTGTTTTAAATTTCTGTAGCGATTGGACTAATTTTTCAGGGTAGGATCTCTGGCCCCACGTCCGATCTCCCTTTTTCTGAGCTTATGACCTGCTAGTAAACTAGGCGATGTTTTTCTAATGACATAAGATCTCATAATCCATGCGAAGAATGTGAAATTAGTTTCAGATAAAAAACAGTACATAGTGCAAACTTAAATTTAGGTAAATATCCTAGCTGTAGAGTTTATACTATACAGAGAAAACATAGTAACACTAAGGAAAAAATCAAAAGATTTTTTATTGATTAATCACTGAACTAAAATTTACCTAAGCATTCATCAACGGTGACAGTACACTCCTGAATGAGGATGGTTAAGTATGCTTTTTTGTACAGTTAAGCAGATGTATGTGTTCATCAGCGAGGTGTATGTAAAACTTGATGGAATTCAATGTCTTCTTAAGTATGCAATCCTATTCACTGTCATGAACAAAGTTTTTTCGTGATGATATTTAGGTTCGTATGGTAACCGAAACTTGCTCCTTTTATGCTATACAGAACACTACAAAAGGTTGACTTTTGCTAAAGGTTACAACTTTCTAGTTTCATCACAAATGACTTCAGTTAGAGAAACACTGGAAGCTATGGGTTACTGAACAACTGTTTCGTCCTATTTTGAGACTCTTTATCAGAACTTACCCATTGGGAGTCAAGCCCAGGAATTTCAGGTTACTCAGCGAATCTGTTGACTGTTTGGTTGCTGAGACGAAATCTATTAGCCGGCCCAAGAATTCTAACTTCTTCTCATTTGCTGTGTATAACACGCCCGTCAGTAACTGTCATCGACGGGTATTCGGGGTGATGGCTGCTTAGTGCTGAAGATTCCCAAGTTAGGATGAGAGTTGCCC